TGGGTTTGGTCTGGGCTTTGTTTCTGTGAAGACTGACAGCCTTGGAGACCCCATGGGGCTCTTCCACTCTGACCTCAAGGGGCTCTGTGAGTCAGAATGGACTCCAGGACGGTGGGTATGGTTTGGCCTTTGCTTCTGTGAAGACTGACAGCCTTGGAGACCCTGTGGGGCAGTTCCACTCTGGCCTCTAGGAGCTCTGTGGGTTGGAATCCACTTCATGGCAGGGGTTGCTTTGAGAGGAGAAAGTGCAACATAGTTATCTGCTATTCATAATAATGCTAAATTTTTGTAAGCATGTGTACACAATATGTTTTGTGAAGTATTATTTAAGCCTCCAAATTTTGTAAATTAATGACATTTCCAAGTGTCCAGACTCTGGCACTCATTCTAGTCTTGAAGAACCAGGATACCTCCCAACCAAAATAACTCACTGCCATTGAGTTGGTTCCAACTCTTAGTGACCCCCATGGGTTTTTGAGGCGGTAGATCTTTGTGGAAGTATATTACCCCATCTCCCTTCCCCCCATCTCCCTTCTGTGGAGTGACAGGTGGGTTGGAACCCCTGACCTTCAGGTTAGCAGCCAGTTGCCTTATGCACTACACTACCAGCACTCTGGGCCTTGGTAAAGATGGCTTTCCTTCCTGCCGTGGTTAGAGGAAGAACTGCCGAGCACTTGAGCATTTTGCCTGCTGGGAGGTTATTATAGGATTTACTGATGTTGAAACTACAGGCTCCGTTGAAGACTACAGATACTCTGAACATAATTTGATCTGACACCCTTCTTACTCATGTTGTATGTTTTATATGTGTTACAGTTTTTTAGTGTCGGGGAAGCATGCCTACTTTTTCTAACAGTCACACTTAACCACTCAGCAGGGGTGAACGGTGGAGCTTGTCTGCTTCCCTCTTCCCAGGTACACATTAGGCCCCACTGTGTACACGGACCTTTCCTGTGTTTGCAGGTGTGACTACTGCCACAAGGCGTTTAAGAAGTCCAGCCACCTGAAGCAGCACGTTCGCTCCCACACCGGCGAGAAGCCATACAAGTGCAAGCTCTGCGGGCGGGGCTTCGTCTCCTCCGGGGTTCTCAAGTCCCACGAGAAGACACACACAGGTCAGTGTCCACCTCAGATTTGGGAATTAAGCCTTTGAAATACACCTTTGGGTAACAGTGCTGTTTTGGTTACCTAGTGCTGCTCTGACAGGAATATACCACAGATGGGATGGTTTTAACAAACACGAGTTTATTCTTACAATTTGGAGGCTTTAAGTCCCAGTTCAAGGTGCCAGGCTTTGGGGGGTGGGTGAAAGCCCCTCAACCTTGGGCTTCAGCTCTGCCTCCTGCTCCTGGCCAACTGAAGCTGGAGGCTTTCTTCACTCAGCTGCTGGCTGCCACTCAACCAGGCCCAGCAAAGTTGACACACAACCTTAACTACTACAAGTGCCATCAACATAGACTTCACAGGCAGTTTACTTCACCTGTCAGAGTGCACGTGTGCAGAGGGGGCCAGCCCTCACCTCAGTGCAATGTTAGGACATTGTCACCATCCCCGGTGGATCCTTACACCTGTGAGCAGTCGCTCTCTGCTTTCCCCAACACTGCGCCCAGGAAGCCACAAATGGACTATACCCCTGTCCTCTTGGGCACAGCTCATGTGAGGAGGCTTGGGCAGCACTGGTCTCTGCTGCCTTGCTCCACTGGGCACTGTTTTTCCAAAGTCTGTCCACGTTGCAGTACAGATCATGCCTCAGTCATTTTTTATTGCCAAATACTGTTCTATTGTATGACTAACTATAGGAGCTCTGGTGGCGCAATGGTTGAAGCATTTGGCTGCTAACTGAAAGGTCGATGGTTCAAACCCACCAGCTGCTTCAGGGCAGAAAGACGAGGCAGTCAGTTTCTGTAAAGATGACAGCCTGGGAAACCCTGTGGGGCAGTTCCACTCTGTCCTCTAGGGGCGCTGTGGGTCAGAATGGACTTCAGGGCAGTGGGTGTGGTTTGGGCTTTGCTTCTGTGAAGACTGACAGCCTTGGAGACCCTG